AGCTGCGCTCAAAAACTATTACGTTTTATTTTTTCTTCTATTTTTGTGTTTTTTTTGTTTTTTTGCTCGTTTTTGTAACTCTTTTGGCTTTTCGTTCTTATTTTTGAAAGGATAATGGTTACTTGTGATTGCGTTTCTTCGTTGCGGTTCATTTTTGCGGAAAGATGCGCGGTGCTTGATATCATCCTTAGCAATTTGTAGTAAAATCATGGCGTGTGGCAATAAGAATGCAACAAAAATTAAAAGCAAAACCATAGCGTAATAAAATGGTGAACTCATTACTTTGCTGCAACAGAAATTGTTGGCTCTGGAGTCAGGTCCGCTCTAGGTTGGTTCATTGCGAAATGCAAGCGCGTGTGCTCACTTAATGCTTTATTTTATTTCATTTTTTCTTCTTTTCTGTTTGTTTTTTGTTGCAAGTTATTCCTTTTTTCCTTGCCTCTTAGTTTTCTGCATCGTAGAGATATCAATATTAAAATCTCTTTTAAAACCTGATAGCAATTTAACACAGAATTGGATTACTGAGTTATGGAAAATATTGCACAATAGAGTTGTTACTTAAAGTTTATAGCACGGAAAATGTACGAAGACATTTGCAGATAAACCTAATCAAATTCTTTTATGAAATTTATTTTTCAATTCTTTACATTAGCGTTATATATAAAATTACTGAGAGAAAAGTATTTTTTTATGGTTAGATTTTATGTCCCATGTCACATACATCTAATGAAGTATTCTGTGCAGGAAGACTGCACTGGGGCAACATTTACAGTAGACGACAGAAAGTCACTTTTGACAACAAATATGAGTCACAACATATGGAATGGACCAAAAGATATGAAAATTGGACAATAACAGATTGATAAATTCTTGTTTAAATCACTTATGGAAAAGAAAACATTGTCAAGTGCAAGTGTCAGACTCTAACCGAATTGATTAAGGTTATCTTTCATATAATGATATTAAGCATTTGGTATTAATTATAAGAACCATTAATTCATTTAGACATTTGCTCATTTATATTAATGAGTGAATGTTCACATTATAATGAGCTCATTTATGCAGCTGATAGAATTTTTATAAACACAAAAAACTTAAATATATAATTGATATACTCAATCATTTATATTCACTTATTTAATTAAGAAAAACAAGGATTTTTTTAAATACATACTTACTTCCTCATAAGTGAAATATTTGCGAGTATGAGTAAAGAAAACTCAGTTTTTCAGGTTGAAGTACACGCAATTGAACTATGTCTTAGGATATATAAAGGAAAACCTGTCAAAGGGAAAAACATATATATCTTTTCTGACAGTACATCGGCACTCCTAACACTATGCTCACCTCGAGTAACCTCAAACCTAGTGTGGGAATGCCTTCTACTTCTCAAAGACTTCACGTGGTCCTTCGTAAAGCTTTTTCAAACTTAAAACTAATGAGTGGCTGGAAAGAGCAGCTCAGATTGATTGGGATAATACAATTGCCTGCATACAAGCCAAGGAATCCATGCCGTTTCGATCAAACGCCAGAACTAGGGAGCTACTTATGCTGAACAGAAGTGGTATCCGACTTGTCACAGGATTTTTCAATGGACACTGCGGAGTTAAAAAGTATCTAATGAATCTTAGTATTACTAGAGACGATAACTGCAGACTTTGTTGCGAAGAAGAGGAAACAGCAGAACACATTTTGTGTCCCTGTGATAGTCTTGCCAGACTCAGACTTCAGTATTTATCCACTCCCTATCTGGATATAACGGAATTAGGCAACATCTCTCCAAAGGATATATTGGCATGCTTAACTGCTACTCGTCTATGGAACTGAAGTGGGTATGTCACAATAATTCTCAAAGGATGCAGTGACGCGGAGACAAGTTCTCAACCCATTTTTAAAATCTAATTTAATCTACTTCCTCTGTGCCTTTTATTTACAGCACAGCTGTTGTTCGTTTACATTTTACATATAAAACATGTGACACATATTTCCAATTTTAATAATTTCCCTTATGGGAAATTTATTTTTAGGAGTTGCATTCGACATTTTTCGCCATAAATGAGCTGGTTTATTGATAATGAGCTCATTTCTTATAAAAGATTTTTGTATGGTAAATTATCCTCATTAGTGGGTGGCTACAATGAGCAAAACCGCCTAAATGGGACAGTGTGAATGTGCTATAACTCTTATTAACTCATACCAAAAAAGTGTATTTTTCTGATAATAAGTGGTTAGTTATTAGTAAGAATAATAAGTCTAAATAATATTTTTTTATAATTCCATGTCGTATTACATGTCAGCGAATCGACATGTCATTTCAAATAATTAATTTCACAAATGTTATTAAAAAATCTTTAAATAATTAAAAATAATCTGCTTCATTATATAGAAAATAGATATTTATGATTGCATTAACGAATAACAGTGCAGATCTTAAACTAATAAGGAATCGCGAACATATAATGAAGATGCAGACTCCAAATTAAATAAAATAAATTAAATCATGTCGTCAAAAAAATATGATTTTACACAATTTCAAAGCAAATTTTCAATAACTTAAACATTTCAAAGCAAGCTTATGAAAAGAAATATATGAAAATTCTGTCAGGTCAGTTAGGAAAAGACTCCTATTTTCATCATCGCTATTAATCATTGAGACATAATATAGTGTATACTTACTTTCTCATCCGCAAAGTCATAGCTCCGTCGTTGTAGAGTAAACCGATATAACTGATAATGGGTATACAATTTTTTTAACTATATCATTGTTAGACATATGATCTAAGTGAAATCCGATTTCTTGTATCAATATGCTACGAGCTCTAATTAATAAATAATAGCCTCTAAAGTCAACAGAAATTCTCGCTAAACAGATACTTTATCTGCGTAAGACAAGCGAAAAAAATATTCAATTCTCCGTAGATTAATAGAAAGTTTTGTAAAACGATATCATTATAATATAATGATTTCATCTAACCTACATTCAATGGTAATTGAATGTAGATTGTTTTATTTAAAATCCATTTTAGACAATTTAATTTATTCAATTTCCCTCTATTCTCTCTATTTGACTTTAATTAACATTGTGTGGAATTACACCGACTTTCAATCGACCATCAGTACCTCACTTAGCTGCATTATTATCTTTCTGTTTTATTAGAACGATTCGTTTTGAATCAATTTAAGCTATGGGTAGATGAGTCCAACATCTTTAACTGTGCTTCGATTAGGTTCAATTCAACTGCGAACCCGGGTCTATAAGGTCTATACATTACAACCCTTGTTGTGATTATTATAATACTCTTTCGCCTTCATCAGTCTAACCTTCACTAGCGACCTTAAGCTTTGATTTTGGTAAGTTTTAACTTATTTATGATTTGTAATTTTTGAACTGGATTCTTAGCATTGTGATCTTTCGATACTAATAGCTGAAATTTTTATTGTTCTATCTTAATAGATGTTTTTAGTTAGATAAAGTCCTACATGGTGGCTTTCGATGCGTGAGTAGTCAAAGAAATGATTGTGAAAACTTGAAACTTGTTTCTTATAATGCAAAATTAAATTCATCTCAAAAAAATCGTAAATCCTTTTCTTTTTTACAGTTTCTAAACACCATAGCAGGGTTTTATAAAGAAATTCCGAATGGTATTTGATGCGAAGAAACTAATACTAATAATAGTAAAATTTGCTTTAACTAGGCTAAGAAATCATATCATTTATTTGTCTTTTAGTTGATGACGGACCTTAAATCAGCATATCTTCCTGAGAATCCAGAAGTGGACTTGAGGATTGTTAGGGCGGGGTTAAGTAGCGTATCAACTTTAGTAAATAATTTTAGAGCTCTGTCTCTGATATATTTTTTCACTGAGTCAATCCTAAGGTCTCTATGTTACATAGAGACCTTTCACTGAGTAACCTACATATACACATATCTAAAACATCTCAAGATGTTTTTCTTCTCAGCCTTGTAAAAGTGTTGTTGGATTTGAGAGCATAACATACATATGCGATGAACGTAATTCTTTATAATGCGAGATATTTCTTCCTTGATTGTCGGAACACGTAGGTGTTTATGCAGCTGTTCGTTCGTGATACTCTAAGGTGCATTTGTGATAATTCGTAGTGTTTTAGATTGAAAACGCTGGATAATTACCAGGTTTGAGTCTGCTGCAGTGCCCCATAATTGGGCTCCATAACTCTATATAGATTTTAGTATAGTTTTGTATAGAAGCAGCTTATTGTTGAGTGACAGTTTGAAATTTCGGCTGAGGAGCCAAATTAACTCTAAAATTTTTGCTTAAACCGACTATTATTATTATTATATTATTATGTGTCAAAATCCACTGCGACCATTATAGAATTATTGTGGACTATAGGTTATAAATAGATTTTAGGACACTTTGTGTTTTGTGTTTTGTGCATAATTCATATGAAAACATAATAATACCATCTAAATGGCAAAGTCTTTATTTGCCAGGAGCCCAGGTATGCACAAAAAATATGTTTTAAATGTATATTTAATAAAATCTACAGAAAATAGTGCTGGAAAGCTTTAACTTATTCAAGTGGTATCTTAGATTATAGTCACCTGTATTGTAACCAGTTAAAATGTTCAAGTCTACAATAGTTCCCTTTACTGGGTCGATTAATAGTTTGCTTGATGATCAACAATACTATTAAGTTACTGGTCTGTAAATAATTTTCTTTCCATTTCCCTATGACGTCATTCGAGTAATTTTTTGTGAGTTCATAGAAAAGATTAGAAGTTAGGTATGTAGTCTCTTTTTTATCTTTATGTGCCTTATACCATAGGTATCTAGTTCGACTAATATTTAACAGTTTTCGTTATTTTAATGAAAAGTAGTGATTTCATCTTTTATCGGCAATAGCGGAAGTCATGATATTCATGATATAAATACATATTATGACTTTTTTTGTGAAAACCTTATAAAAATAAATAGTAACTATGATACTGAAACAGATTTTTGGAATGATTATTGACTGATAATTTGTGTTTTTATTTATTAATCGTAAAAAAGACTTTCACTTTGTGTGATTTGTGATATTTTTTTTGAAATCAGATAATAAAAATCCTAGACTAAAATTTTGTAAGTAAATACGTTGTAATTTAGCAGTTGGTTTTAAAGTATTGAAGTGGGATTAATAAAAATGATCAGGAAGTTCACACCATTTAAGAGGAACGTACTTGTTTCGACGTTTTGCAGAAATTTTCGTAAGAATACTTTTTTGCTTTGGCCAGAATTCATCAATTTTAAAAGTTTTTCCGAAGGAATTCTTCATTAAGTCCAATTCAATAATTTTTCTTTCCGTGTCGATAACTTCTGCACGAGTGCCTTGTATGACGAAACATATTTTCATGTACCACCATTCTTTTCGTGTCGCTGTAACGCACATTTCCACATAGTTTTCCAAATTTCCTTCAAAGTACATAAACGGAACGAAATGCTTACCTTCCCTCTTGATGAACGGTACAAGCGGCTTTCGATTTATGCGTACGAAACCATACTTCTCTAAATTATTCGTTATTTTGGAAGACAACAGCTTATTGCAGTATATAATAAATTCGTTGAACATTTTTATGTGCGCTAAATTCACGAGTGAGTCTCCAGGCTTTATAGCATTTTTTTCATATTCTTTATAGTGTAAGCCAATCATATTATTAAGAATTTCTGTATCGGTTTCTGTGGTCATAGTAGATGGAATTGCGTTTTCGTACACCATAGGATTAAGAGATTGTAGAATGTCCTTGAAAATAAAATCTTCAACGTATTGAGCCGCGCAAAGTTTTTCATCTCTTTTAAGAATTATAGGAAGAAAAACGTCTACAACCCTTCCCCAATAAAAGTTCTTGAGGTTTAAGTCCACAAGAGAGAAAGAATCAATAGAGGATTGTCCTGATAGAAAGTTACTGCAGTATTCAAGCTGAGATAGTTCTTCATTGTACTGTAATAAATTACATTTGCTATAATTGGGTTCAATAGCTGGTTTATTATTAACAGTGTTAAAATCATATACAGGACTTTCAATCCACATTAATGGGGTAAAATTTTCTGAGGATTTAAATGATAGCGGCTTAAATTGATCTGATGTTCCAGGCCAAAACTTATCATATACCATACTAGATTTGGCACCCTTTTTTAGTGTGGCAATTGGTATAAATTTCATATTTTTGTCAAGTAATTCTTCACGTGTTCCTTGAATAAGAAAACACATTTTTATATAAATCCATTCAGCAGTTGTCAAAATAACGGCCTCATCTTCGAACTTTTTTATATTACCTTCAAAATATGTCAATGGAACAAGTTGTTCCTCATCTCTTAAAATATATGGTACCACAGCCATTTTATTAATTCGTAAAAAACCACATTTAATAGGATCTCCCACTTCATCCGAATTTAGCAGATTATGGCAAAGCAAAAGAAATTCATATAAATCTTTGGCATCCTGCAGTTTCACAAAATAGTCATTGTACTTAAGTTTTTCACCAGTATATCCACAGTCTGCTCTACTTATAATATTATTAATAACATCAACTTCGTATTGAGTGAGAAAAAAACTTGGCAATATCTTCTTGTAAAGCTTCGGTGAAAATTGCATTAGTTGATCTTTAAACACTACCTCCTCAAGTAGCTTGGCTGGACAATATTCTATGTCTTCGAGTATAACACAGGGTATAAAGGCGTTCCCCAGTGGAGTCCAAGAGTGAGCAATGTTTTTGAAGTAATCATCATATATAATGACATTGTCCAAAAGTGATTGTCCGCTATCAATTGAGGAGGAAGTTTCTGATAATGAAAGGGACTGTTGACTGCTGTCACTGAATTTGTTTTCTTTGGAATAAAAAATTCTGTTTATGTTAAAACCATTTTGTGAAGAATCTGCATTACCTTCACTATAAAAGCTTACACTTCTGTTCCCCATCATTTTCAAATGATCCTATCAACCAATTATCAGAAAAGCAGTTCTATAAATTATCATTCACAAATATTTAAAAAATGACTTTTACTCGAAATTTAATTTTTTCAAATAAAATCTCTTATTTATTATTTAAATTTTATTTTGAATTATTTTGAACAAGTTTAAGCTGAAATACTTTTTGACAGAAAAAGCAAATTTTACTTCTTCTTCTTGTTCTTGAGTTAGTGCTATTACGCACTTTTACTCTATAATGGCTACCTTAAAGCAATTACAGATAACTCAAAAGTTCGCTTTAAGAAGACTGTTTAAGATTCCATGGTATATTAGATCAACAGATATACATAGACAGTGGCGGAGCTAGACCAACTCTGGACGTCGGCAACATTAGAATTGCGAGGCCCCCTTTATAATCCAGTTGTAAAAGTAAATAAGTTACATTCACTAATATGACAAAGCATGATTGAAAGTTTTATTGCTAATCAAAATAAAATAAACACAAATTATAATAAATGAATTTTCCAACTTTTAGCTTCACTCAATTTTTTTTTAAATTATTTCATAATTTGCGCCAGCTGCTATTTTCGCTTCAGTTTATAGAAATTCGAATGGAGATAGTCTCTCTTGGATCATCATACTTTTGTAGTACGTCTTAATCAATTTTAAATTTGAAAAGCTTCTTTCCGTCGCAACTATACTGACTGGAACTGTAAACATGAACTTGGTTACTATTCGGAAATATTTCGAATATGGTTAATGCCATTATCAAACCAAATTGTTCAAAATATTTATTAAGTGCTTAGAATCCACAGTCGGTAACTTTATGCGAGGCCCCTGCGGGCGCGAGGCCGTCGGCGGTCGCCGACATCGCTGACGCCTAGCGACGCCACTGTATCTGTAATTGCTTTATGGCAGTATTTGAGGCTTTGATTTATGTTACATATTCGCGCAGTAATGCTGGCCTAATTATTTGAGTAAATAATAACTTTCTATTTTTGAGGTTGAATCGATTATTTTTGAACAGCGGCTTTTTGAGATATAGAAGAGCAACTATTCCGTTTGCATTTCATATGTTTATACCAATTAAGCCGTTTGTCAAAAATGACCCACAGATATTTTATGCTTTCCTCCCACCGTTACGCCGTGCCAATCACGCTCACTTCTGGATGATGCTGCCTTTTCTTTCGTGTTTTTCTTTTACAGATCGTAATAATTATTATTACGGCACATATTAATATATATTACTTATTGTCATTCATACTTGACAGATCGTAATAAAACAGCTCATATAAAATGTATGACAAAATTAAGTCAAATGCTGGCTTGGTTGTATTGCACTCTATAGAACCTACTTTTAAGGTATTTATAATATTAATTTTGATATGATTTTGACTTGCGACCTATATGGAATTCATCTATAAATGAAATGGCAATTTACTAAGAAGTTACTAAGAAGAATTTCTGTCACCAGAACAGATTAAGAACTCTTCTCTAGATTTAGTTCTAGACTTTATTCACAAAGCTTTAAGGGGCTTTGTTTAATCAATAGTGAAATGGTACAATAGGTCTCTTCTGGCCGCAGTACCGGCTGTTGGGCAATTTTCACGTCTACTCTGTAATAATACTAAGAAATTAAAGTCATTAAGTCACCTGATGGCCACATTTTTAGAATCATACATTCTCGTTTTGTGTAGTCTGTAGATACAATAAGTATAACCAAAGGATTTATAAAATACATATTAAAAGAAATTATTTTGTCACTGTGATACATGGAAACAGTGTTGAAAATTTCATGTGTATGTATAAATTAAACTTCTGAACGTTTTCAATTTAAATATATTTGAAAAAAAAGACAAAAATACATCAAATTTTATTTTATGGCTATTTCCTTGTCGCCTCAATCATTTTGGCTTGCATTAAAAAACAATTCCCGATTGGCAATTTATTTTTCTTGAACACAATAAGAACTTCGGGAGAGGCTTATTGATTCTGTAGAACACATATTCGCATAACAATTCAAATAATTTTATGCTAATATTTGAACACTTAAGTGTACAAATAATTCTTTGACATTTTGAAAGCCATAAAGACGCGTTCCCAACATAAACCGAACAAATAAACAAACAAAACTTTCAATTCTCGTTAACATAAAAATTGCGTTAACATCGAAACAAAATGAATATTACTCTGTTCGCAAGGATGTTTCCATATTTGGGCTCTTGGCTCGTACCGCAGAATCCTTATTTTGATACATTCTTGCATACACACTCACACGAATTCACACAATGTGTCAAATTGAGCAAAAATACATACAAATTACTAACGTGTTTTCAACAATATTTTACTGCCGCCTAAAAATATGCTATTAAGTGGATATCGTAAAAATGGTGCTATGACTTTATAACTGCTTATATAACACAATTCCGACTTTACCATCGAAAGCCCCACACCTAACATGTGTCATATCGAGCAGCAAATGTTACACATACATAAACGCATACTGTTTTGCATACAATGGGACAATGCCGACAATGGGACAGACAAACGTTTATACAATTTTCCAACTGAAATATTTATTATTTTTAGGGAAGTTTGCTGACGATGTCTTTGCTGTTGAAGTATTTGAAGTTCCTTCAGTGTTAGCTCTCTCAGATACTAAGACACTGGTCTAGTATGCATATGTTGGTACACATTGTTTCATTGAACATCGGTTCAGGTTTTATACTCATGTGTGTTGACATGCAATAAAAATTAATTGTTACGTATAAGGCCAGCTAAAAGAAGAAGAGAAATAACATCTTATGTCTAACCCGAGATATCTTTTATTTAAGAAAGTGTTAGAATTCATACGTTTATAAGGAAACGTATTACTTTATTAGCTTACCAACTGTGATACACTACGCCACAGAAGCAACAAAATTTTAGGTACATACCAACTAGAGGATGAAGACCTTCGAAAACTCCCTCCGAAGAAGTTGGTTCGATTCCTCGAGATACTAAATATCTAAATACAAAGGCCTGCACAATAGATCAAACTGGTCGCAGTACATAGCGGCCTTAGCCTAACCCAAAAACCCCCAAATACCATTACTAGCTTACATATGGTTCTCCACTTTAAGTAATGGGAAAAGACTGCTTAGTTAGGTTCATAAAAGAACAAAAAAACGCATATTTAGATAGAAATTTAATACTTCTAATACTTAATCAGATTTAATACTTCATCTGATTTATTTTAGCGGCTTTATTTTTTGGGGGTAGCTCTCTCTGAATAGCATAACAAACTTTGTCAAAGGTTCTACGTAGTTCTAACCCTTGAGTTTTTAGTTACACTTTAACACAATGGGTCTATAGGCCTTGGGATCGCCGATATAACCTACCTACCTACCTAACCTGACCTATGATTGGAATAAATAAATAAGAAGACAAACGGCCATTAATGCAATTAAGGCAAAATTAAGATGAAGACATAAGATAAGTATAAAATAAATTTTTAATTATTTATAATTAAATAACATCAAATTGTTTATATAAATGCATTATATAGCCTTTTAAACATGTAAACATATTATATTTTTAAGAATATATTATTAGGAATATCTAGAACTTAATAAAGAAAATAAATATTGTAAAATTTAATAAAAAAATATTATAATTTTTTATTTCATTTCAAATAAATAAAATTTTAAATAGAAATGTTGATGATTTTTTATTTAAAGCGATAATGATTTTAATTTTACTTTAAATTTTATAACAAAATTTATAAATAAAATGGAAGTAGAATTTATATTTTAATTAGCTTTATTATAAATGAGTATTGGGCTATCAGTCAGATTTTGTAATTTGGTTTTTTTAATAAAAAATTTTTCTTATTATTTTACTTATTTAATATTTATTTCCGACGTTTCGGTTTTTTAAAACCATCATCAGGGAAAAATTTTAAAACAACTGAATAGAATAAAATTTTTATATAAAAAATATTTTTGACAAATGTTTTAAATAATTACAACGGAGAAAATACAATCAATAATTTCCAATATTCAAGGAATAACAAAGACATCATAATATCACAGTTCATCACTAAAACACATGATGATTGTATCCAATTCTTACGTAAAAATAAACATATTATCATCATCCGAGCTGATAAAGGAGGATCTACAGTTGCACTTAAACGCTCCGAATACGAAGAAAAAATGATAAGTATTCTTAACGACCAGTCTACTTATATTAAAGTTGAACGTAATCCTCTTAATAAACTAGAAACTGAATCCAATAACTTAATTCGACAGCTCTTTAATCTCAATGTTATTGATAAAGCACAATATCAACATATGACTAGACACAATGTGTCTATTCCCAGAATTTATGCATTACCGAAAGTACATAAATCTAACCGTCCACTCCGCCCAATTGTATCAACGATTGACAGCCCTTCATCTCAGCTTGCAATCTATTTGAACACCATATTGAGCAAAATTGTACATAAGAAATATGATATCACAAATAGTGTAGAAGCTCGAGAAAAATTAACTAACATTATTGTTGAAAATGATGAAGTTCTCGCTTCTTTTGATGTGATTTCACTTTTTCCAAGTATTCCAATGGATTTAGTGATTAGACTATTAGAAACCAAATGGCATCTTATACAACAATATACAACCATGCCTCAATACCTTTTTTTAAAAATTATACATTTTGTACTAATTGATTCGACATATTTTTTGTTTAAAAGAGATATATACAAACAAATTAATGGATGTGCTATGGGCTCAAATATTTCACCTACCATCGCCAACATTGTTACAAATGAAATCTTTGATGTGACAATTCCCAAATTATCATTTAAACCTAGAATTGTTTTAAAATATGTTGACGATATTTTCACCATTGGGTCAAAAGATAAAATCCTTGAATTTCTACAATTATTAAATTCATTTCACAATCGCATACAATTCACTGTTGAACATGAATTTAATGGAAAACTTCCCTACCTAGATTTATTAATATCTAAGAAAAATAATCGAGAACTAGCAATTGACTGGTACCAGAAAGATGTATTCTCAGGTAAAATTCTTAACTATTTATCACACCA